CTAATAGATTTCGAACTAGTGTGATGAGAAAAGAAACTTCTTTAGTTTGTATTGGTCAGTACAATCTAACTAGATGAGTTACACGGTATTGTAGTATGTATTGAGCACAACAATTAATTATCCTAGGTGAGTTGCACAGTATTTTGGTATGTATTAACCACAACAATTATATTAGGTGAGGTACAGTATTGTAGTATGTATTGACCACAACAATTATAATAGGTGAGTTTCACAGTATTTTGGTATGTATTGACCACAACAATAATACTAGGTGAGTTTCACAGTTTTTTAGTATGTATTGACCACAACAATCACACTAGGTACTCAGGTTTGTAGTATGTTTTGGCCACAACAATAATTTTAAGTTAGTTACTCAGTTTTTTGGTATGTATTGACCTCAACAATCATACTAGGTGAGTTACATAGTATTGCAGTATGTATTGACAACGACAATTATACTAGCTGAATTCCACAGTATTGTAGTATGTATCGACCACAACAATTAATTATCCTAGGTAAGTTGCACAATATTTTGGTATGTATTGACCACAACAGTTATATTAGGTGAGGTACTCAGTATTTGTAGTTTGTATTGATCACAACAATCACACTAAGTAAGTTACTGAGGTTTGTAGTATGTTTTGGCCACAACAATAATTTTAAGTTAGTTACTCAGTATGTTAGTATGTATTGGCCACAACAATCATACCAGGCGAGTTTCACAGTATTGTATTGTGTATTGGCCACAACAATCATACCAGGCGAGTTTCATAGTATTCTATTATGCATTGGCCACAACAATCATACCATGCGAGTTTCATAGTATTGTATTATGTATTGGCCCCAACAATCATACCAGGTGAGTTTCACAGTATTGTATTATGTATTGGCCACAACAATTATACTAGGTGAGTTTCACAGTATTGTAGTTTGTATTGAGCACAACAATCACACTAAGTGAGTTACACCGGTTTGTAGTATGTTTTTACCACAACAATAATTTTAAGTTATTTACTCAGCATTTTAGTATGTGTTGACCACAATCATACTAGGTGAGTTACACAGAATTGCAGTATGTATTGACCACGACAATCATACTAGCTGAGTTGCACAGTATTGTGGTTTGTATTGGCCACAGCAATAATTTTAAGTTAGTTACTCAGTAATTTGGTGTGCATTGACCACAACAATCATACCAGGCAAGTTTCACAGTATTGTATTATGTATTGACCACAACAATCATACTAGCTGAGTTGCACAGTATTTTGGTATGTATTGACCACAACAATAGTACTAGGTGAAGTTTTATATGAATACAACAATAGTACTAGGTGAGTTTCACAGTTTTGTAGTATGTATTGACCACAACAATCATACTAGGTGAGTTACGCAGTATTGTCAGGTTGGAAGTGTGGTAGTATTGTAGTTTGTATTGGCCACAACAATAATTTTAAGTTAGTTACTCAGTATTTTAGTATGTATTGAGCCCAACAATCATACTTGGCGAGTTACTCATCTTAGTATGTATTGACCACAATCATACTACGTGAGTTACGCAGTATTGTCAGGCTGGAAGTGTGGTAGCAACTCCATGGTACGTGCTCTGTGTAACAACAATCACTCTTGGGGCTATAACTCTCCTTCTGTTTTCTGTAATAAACACTGGGAATTTCATATAAAACTTGGTATTTCGATATAAATTCAAATTTCCGTTATAGTTGTATAAAAAATAATAGCTAAGTTTAGTAGTAGTATTTTCAAGGTACGATTGTTCAAACCAACGATATCGTTTAAAGTAACAGATAGCTAAATAGAACCAAATGCAACATTTAATCGTGTAATTAAATGTTACATAGCTTAGCAGGCATAAAAGCCTTTTTTTGTTTGATGTTGAGGTTTTTAGTTGTTCAAAAATGTCTCTGATTTTTAATAGTCTCTTTGAAACTATTAGCTTGAGTGAAAATTAATTCAATTTGAAATCCATTGTCAATAAACAATACCTAATTATAAAATATATTTTAATCTAAAAACATGTATTATACAATGTCTCAACTTAGCCACTAGAAGGATGTCAGTTGCTTTGAAGGATGCCACTTCAAAGATCTATACAACATTGAATGGTAAATAATGTTTTAAATATCATAAAAGTCTATATACAAGTTCATTGAATGTTTATATATCTTCATATTCTTTTGATTTGTTGAATATAAATGGAAATTTAAAAAACCCATTTTCTGAGTAAACCTCTTGATAATTTAAAATCTTAGCATACTTAAATCAATTTCATTTAGTTTTCAAATACTAAACAGATCTTTCGTATCGTATGAGTCTCTTAACAATTAATTAGTGTCATTTATTAGATCAAACGCGTCCAAACAGTAATTTTGTTGAAACTGAGCTTACTAATTGAAAAACACACTATCGTCTATATTTGCGATGCCAATGTATGCGATACGTTGATATCATATTGTTATAATAGAGTTTATTTATAACATGACTATAATATAATCATATTTCAGCTCACTATTACCTCGATATACCTTGTGGGTAATTAGTAACCCAACATTAGAAATGATTAAGCATCGGGGTTCAGCTAAGAATTCGAGTCTTATAAAACGCCTTTGATAAAAGTAAATAACTTGATACAGGTAACTTCAAGAAAATCCAAGACCTCAACAGTCAAGAAAACTTCATAAACAGTAGAAATGTATTCAACGTTTCATTCGTCCTCTAATAAAAATTTACTATCAGTAATAATTTCAAAGTGCGGTTAAGTCGTTTTATGAAAGAAACAAAAGAAATATAAGATTGATGCAGACATAATAATAAAACTAGCGGTATTATATAAAAGAACAAAGCACCGCTAAGAGACGACCGAACAGTTAGCGTTATGCCTTCTCACCACGCGATGGAGGGAGATCTTGAAAAACATATGCTTCTTGCAGTTGCATCGTTGCATGTATGCAATTCTGCATTTAGTTTTAGTTTCCAGTTTATTTCTTTTAAGGGCAAAAATAAACTCAAAGACAAATACGTCTTACTTCGTGTTAAATCAGCATAAAAATAAATACTACTCGTGCAAATAAATCGTATTACTACTGCCATGGTTGAAAATAAAAGGAAATACAACAGTTTATTTGAATTCTGTAGTTTTAGGGTTTAAATATAATTGGTTTAATTGACCCCGTAGTCCATCCGGTGACATCTTTTGAAACCTGGCGCGACCAGAAGTTCGATTCTGCCAACCACAACAGGTGTTTTAGTAACACATTCCACTTTTTAGCAGCTATGATATAATTATATTTTTGTAATAATAGTATAATCCAATGGATTTGAGGCCAACTTAACCTGTGCGTCCACCTTTTGAGAAAACTTAAAAGGTTAAATAGCTACGAGTGATTGAACTTGCTTAATATTGTAAAACTCCCACCAAATAATGTTATACAAATTTAGATGTTAAATCATGTACAAATCATGTAAAGAAGCTAAACGCGAAGAATTTTTGTGATTTATTCTGTGACAATAACTGTTTTGCGTATTTAGTTCATATTTCGTAAAAGTCTGTATTATGTGTTTAAAATAACCTTTGGGACAATATTTCTTTGTAATATAGCAATATATCGTTTAAGGTGGCAGTTTTAGTCTCTGGGATCAGAAAGTTGTCAGGGTAAATCGTACCTTCGTATAGTGAAACTAGCTGGATGTAAATGTACCCATGTACATGGACCATGTAGCCATGTATTACGCAAATGTAAAAGTTTTACCACAGAGACTTCGTACAGAAACGTCGAAAAAAGGTCGGAAATATCTTTCTTTTCTTGGATTTAAACGAGTTACTTTTCACTAACTCGTTTTTTTTGTAATACGAGAAAAACAAACTCCGTAAAAAACCAACTGAATTTTTATTACAAATCTTTTAAATTAGACAGTTTTAAAATTCGAAGACTCCTAGTTGTTATTTTAACGGGACAAATCGAATGCACCTGATAATGACAAAGTTTTCACTTTTATTTAATCGCATGCAAGGTCTTCAATTTCATCAGTACGGCAGTAACATGGCAACAACTTGATGAAGCCAGAACCATGTTTATAAAAGTTTTACGAAGGAGGAGCACCGAACCTAAGGAAGGGGTTGTTAATTTGATCTTACCACGCAAACTGGAGAATGTATGCCACTTGCTTATACTCACAAAAACAAGAACATTCGCTTACATTATTGATGTCTAAAATACAGGTTTGCTGTATCAAAATATTTACGTAAAAGATTTAATTTATTATAACAAAAATGTTAATGTTTCAGGGAGTTCATGAGTCAAATTTAAATTACGAGGAGGCCCTTGCCCAAAATCTTCTCCATTTAAAAGGCATAAATAGAACCACATACAACACGAACAACGTTTTACAACGTGTACAACGTGAAGAACGACGTGTATTTAGCAATATGGATTAGTGTAAAAGTTGGATTAGATGTAAAACAAATGGTGCACAAAGCTGCACATACGTTAACATTTTAAAGCTATTCATAAAAAATATATAATAGTCACCTGCACCCATATATTTTACGTCCTGTGGGCAATATCGCTTTCTCTGAAGTCTTTTTCGTTTCACTTTATTCCTAAAAATAAAAACCTTTTAACTAAACCTACATTTACGTAACTATTATGAGATTTTCTAAATGGCCTGATTAATCATATGCTTTGCTAACATCTTCTTTTTAGGATTAAATATAGTAATAAAATGCATTTCATCAACTCGACTGGGTTAGTGATTAGAACGCGGGTCTTCTACCATGCATACATCCTAGTTCGATTTCCCCTAATCACTAATCATGTTCGAGGTGGTGTGTAGAATACATCTAATTCTAGATCCATCCGGAAAACATTCCTTAAGCAAAGAGTGTTAAAGAGCTCCCTCAACCAAATGGCTTAGGATGCTTTAGTTTTTACCAGATTAATTACCAATTTCAGCAATGAATGTTCAGTAATCTACAAAAGACTCACCTAAGGTCTGTCCCAGCACGGTTCGTCCGTCCTCCCCCAGACAGGCACTGCGGGCGTCAAAGGGGTTGGTGAATTGTACAAAGGCGTATCCCTTGTGCATGGAAATCCCTGCGAACAAAAAGGCTTTTAGACCCTTGTCCATCCACACTACAAAATAGCATTACAAAAAGTACTGTAGGAGGGTCATACATTGTGCATACATTGGAAGGTTACATATTGGTGCGTGAATATATATTCACCGAGAATTTATATGTGGTAATTCTTCTGCTTGTTGTCAGAAGAACAAAAATCGCTATTTTAAACAAAGCTGTAGTTTTTAAGTAGAAGTTTAAATAATTTAATTTTCTATCTAGTACAACCAATGACCAAATAAATAATGCATTTTATCATTACAATAAAATAGTTTTGCAGAACTTGGTTGAATAATAATTCATTTACGGCCATGGATAGTAAATGTCTTTAATGTTCTTCAATGTGTTTAATTCAAATATGTACATGAGAATATCAATTCCAGCTTGAAGCCATTACAATTAAGAGATCTCAGTTTTTTAAAGATAAATGAATCTCGAAAATAATTTTACAAACTCGTATTGTTGTTAGGAGAAATGATAAGATCATCCTCAAAATAATTTATCCCTCGCTACACGATAAATACTCCCAAAGTTGTACTGGCTCATTTAGAAAGTGTTAAAACTGAGTGACTAATGTGGCATTCACAGTCGTTACAACACGAATTCCAGCTATATATTTTATAGCGAACGAAAAAATCTCGACTAATTGAAGTATTTATCTTCTCTAAACATTTTTAAATACAATTACTCTTTTTGCCACTTCTTCACCACTAGTTTTCAATAACTCGTCGTATTAATGTCGTAGCTTGAACTTTTATAGGGTAACTTAATGCATTGTGATAAAAAAAAACAAATTGTTCTTAAATTATTTGTTTTTGAATACCATCCAACTCTCATTGCTTATTTATTTAATAAGCAATTGACAAATTTATGAATCTTCCAACTAACTAAAAGGTATTTTTATCTGGTGGTTCCTGGTTCCGTCTTAACGTACTGTAATACTAATAACTCCATGGTGGTACGAAACTGAGCCTATTAGATTTTATGAATTTATTTATATAAAGAATACCAGCAGCAACCATTACCAAAACCATCATGTCATTACATTCTACACTTGTTCCACTAATACTATCGCTATCTAAATCATTTCAAAACCTGCTCGAATTGAATCTTCTTGAACTGGATTGTCTGAGTAGCCAAGTTGCCATATCATTAAAATATATCACTTCATACATTAAAATATGAAAAGTACTAGTTAGATTCAATGCGCCATCGTTTCGGGTTTCAAGAGCGATTTATCAAGTTAATTTATTATGCTCTCAGAAAATACTGTATTAGGTATTTTTTACGTTTTTGACCTTATGTTGGCAGTATGTCTCTAAGCACCTCAATTAGACAGGTGTGTATGTACGTATGTCAGCAAACGTCTGCGTTTACTGCTGTGGTTGTGACGTTGTAGGTTGGGGGGGAGCGGTTTAGGTTGAGGCTTAGACTAATCATTCAACGTCAAACGTCATCGCACGATCTATCAACAGATGTTGTAGCTTGTGACGTCATTGCATTGAGAGGGATGAGGGGACAGATTCTATAGATGGATTACAAGAACAACTCACTACAATTAGAAGACGGACCACCGTCTTAATGTACTGTCATACTTTTATAATACTGTGTGAGATGGTATAAGATATGAATTGATTGTTGACATTGCATACTACATTTAGACTAATCATGAGATTATCGTGGTATTGTAACCGTGTTTGTTGATGAGTACCTGTTTGCCGATATTCTGTGTCACAAACTTACTTTGCACTAATCTTAACATGGTATTAAGAAGAAATTTGATTTCTTGTTTTGTTGTACAGTGAGTTAAAACCCGGTTTTCATTATTAATATATCTTTTCATAGGTTTTATCAATATATAGTAACCGTTTTGTATAATAAGTAACATAATCTACCACTATATCCTTCATCATTAATTTGGGAAAGTGTATCGCTTATTATGTCATTTATACCCAACAGATATATTTTTATTAGTTTAAATATGAAGGGTGGTGGATATTGACATAGGGAAAGGAGGTTCGTGCCGTTGATGTGAAAATCGGTGTCACGTCATCTTGAATTGAGTGGAAAGTGAATTTTCATAACTCAGTCACAAGGTGATCGACTATACGTCTTCACCCTCTATATCACACAGCCCCGTTCGTTCCAAGATACGTCGATTTCTTGGCTAAATATGTCTTTCGCGAAAAATAAGAGAATGCTTAAGATTGATCATAAATATTATATTTATAAGATTTAGTAATTAGGCAAGCATGTTTCTTTAAAACCTTTTTTCTCAGCTCGTGTGCATCGCAGGGAAATTTTATGCAGACTGTTGGAAAGATATTTTCCAATTTATGTGCAGAATCGCTATATAAATTAAAACAGGCTCAAAAATAAATACAAATAATGGATTTAAAATTTAAAAAAATAGCCTGGGCCTTATGGGTCGTCATGCTGGTGACGAAATATAAACATAAAATTAAAACAAGTGGAAGAAATTCCAATCGCATGTTTTATTTACAGTGTGGGGTGGAATTAGATCTATGCATAACATATTTTTGGTCGAGTTTTCGACCATTGGTCATAATAATTAAACATTGGGGTGTAGCAGTTTTTTTATTCATTTAGACTTTCAACACAATTTGAGTATTTAGACCTCGTTACGCTAACATTTTGCAAAATTTTCGGAAAAGTTATAATCGCTTTATGATGAGAAACCTAGGTTTCAAAATTTCAACCATTTCGCTAATTTTACGAAATAATACGTAGTTTTACAGCAAGCTAAATCCTAAATCTCTCATCTAAAAATTGCTGGATAAAAAAATAGATAAGAAACTTTGAGGACCAATTCTGAACCGTTCTAGGATATACCAGCTAATTTACCTCAAAAGGACATTACATAAGTTATATTTACCTACGACCGTTTTTTAAGTAGCCGTTTCAGTCCAGTTCTTAGAATTGAAAAGTTTCTCATAACAGCATTGTTTACTTTCACAACAGCATAATTTTACTCATAACAACACGCGTAACTGACCAATGAGGTTCAAGGGTTGAGAGAGAAGAATTAAAATTGTTATGATTCTAACTTTAACTAATCAGCTGTTCAGGCCAGTTTAATTGTTGAGTGGTGCAATTTGTGTTTGGTACAATCTTTCTTTGCATCACTGTCATTGGCAATGAGAGGTTATAAACGAAAACATACCTAGAAATTATGATTAGTGAATTTTAGTAATTAAAACACTATCGTAGGTAAAGTAGTGTACGCAACTCGCGTAAAGAGTGTTAATGACACTCGTAGAAGTTTTTAAGGCACTCGCCCAGTCTCGTACCTTAAATTGTCTACTCGTGTCGTTAACACTATCTTTACGCAATCGTTGCGTAAACTACTATTGCATTAAATTTTGTATTAAATATTGTTGGCCAGCTACAACAGTTGTCCACAAACTTCATGTAAAAAAATATATGTCCAAGTTATCGTTGTTAATGTTTTGACAACCTCAACATGAAGAAGCTTGATACCCTAAGCAAGAATGCGAAGAAGGCAACATTATCTCTGAAAGTATAGTATTATACCCGAATAGTAGGTTATAAAATTATCTGACATAAGTATATTTAAATTACCTATCCTTTATATGTTAAATTGTTTCAATACTACACACAAATCTAAATTAGTCGATTTCGGTTATACAACCCGTTTTTAGAGTCTTAAACTTGTGTTACTGAAGCTATCTACTCCAAGGTTCTTCGTATTAAGGTTTTTAATTGTCTCCGTAGAGTGGTCAAAGTGCTTACCTTGAAAAGTGAATGTTCTATTCCAAGCAAGATTCGTTATGACGTAGAAACACAAACACAATTTAACCCGAAATCTCAATTCGCACTGCGTTTCAGCCGAACTGATGTCCTCGGCAATTACCTCTAGTGACAAGCTGCACACAAGACATACTGTGTGATGGTGAAGGTATGAAGCTCTAGCCAAGTTTATGACAGTATTTGGCTGGAATAGAGAATACAAAGTGCAGCTGTCTTCCATTAGCGAAGCCGACTTCTCTGACATTTATTGGTTAAATGTAAAGTTTTAGATCTCAACGAAGATCTGTCACGTTGCACTTTTACACGTGATCGTAATTATCTGGTAGACGTGTTTTTGATGATTGATGGTTCATATTAATCACCTGTCACAAACTACATAATATGGCGCACACTTGCAATATCACAACTCACGTACATTAGTTATCCACTATCACAGCTTACATACATTTGCCTTGAATAATGAAGTTCAAAGAAATATTTTGCAGTGTGATTTTGTTGACTTGTAAGTATTTTTTTTTTTATTACAATGAATACATTAGAAAATGTTAACTTTTAAATTTTATTACCAATTGTGTTTTGATAATGGTTTACATTTGCTTCAAATCACTAGAATTTGAAACAAAATATTTACCTAAAGAAATCAATTAAAATTGTTTTAATAATTTTTACATCACACTCTAACTCCTGTTAACATGTTGTTAAAGGCTTGGGCTTGAGCATCGCTCCACAACCCGAACACCTTAATGTGATGGGCCTAAAAAAGCCCAACAAGATATCAAATTTTCGTAAGTACCTGTATTCTTTGATTTAATAATAATAGTAAGTAGATATAACTTTACCGTATTGCGTTTGAACCAGTTTGAGATTGATTATGAATGTAGCTTAAATAAATGTATGTGTCTAAAGCGTGTTATAACTATAAAATTTGGTTTCATGATGATTGGAGTGTTCAATCGAAATTTATCACCATTACCATTATTTATACAGGGTGAGTCTTCTAAGCTGTCCTAAACAGATTACAGACGAACGGCTTGACATACAGAGATGAAACAAACCTTTTCCCCACTAATTCATACCCAAGGAACAACGTAAAAATGTGTTTACCATTTTTTAAATACAGGGTGTTCGAAAAACTGGGGGTAATGGGTCCGAATCTCAGAGTTTTCAAACGTATATGTCATGTTA